GCTGCTACTGTGATTGTTGACTGTGAATCCATGAAAAATAAAATTTGTGAAAACTTCAATCTTTTCGCCATCTATCATGATATTACTTATTGGTCCAGTGATGAAGATTTTTTTATTTCTTGATTTTGAGATGTAACCTTGAATTTTTTTTGTTATTTTAGTGAAAGCTTATGAACAGATTTGATTTAATGCATTCTTTCATACACATTTTCTTCCCCTTTTTCCCATCTTGCTAACTCCAAGATTATTAACCATAATTCATATATCTAATTGTCCAATTCCGCTCACTTGTCCTCTCCACCTATTTATTTCAGTGCAAAGATCATTTTTTGTTTGTTTCTATCTATGGATGCTGACTCTAGATCCAACGAAAAAGATGCTCATCACAAATTAAAATATTTTTTCTCTGTGGATCATGAAGTGATTTATTGTACCAATGGGAGGAGTATTTTTATCTTTATGTTGATGTTGAATCTGCACTGTAGGCTTTATTATTTGACCTTCATCAGCAAGAGCTTCATATCTTCAGTTTCAATAGGGAAGTTTGTCACATCTGCACATCATTAGTGGATAACTCTCCAGGCTGGATGTTGTATTCTTCTTTACATAAACCAGTTTTTTTCAATTATTTGCTCAACATACAGGTTAAATTGTTGAACCATTAAACCTTTCATGATTTTAGACCAAGTCATACTCTTTCTTTGTTCAAATGGTTAGCTCTTAATAAGTGTTCATGCAGGCTCTACCTGAGTGGAATGAAGTGGTTTTACAATGTTTCAGTAATTTGTGTGTGTGTGATCCTCGTCATCAAATGATCTTCGTTGTTGTTGTTGTCATGTGCCATCTAGTTGCTTGTGACTCATAGTGACTCTATACAACAGCCCTAAACCCTGCTCTATCTTGTGCTAATTTCAGTGCCTACAACACACGCATCCCAATTACCCCAGTCACTGAATCAGCCCACCTCATAGAGGATCTTCCACTCCTGCACTGTCCCTCCACTCTCCCAAGCATGATGTCCCTCACCAAGGACTGGTCCCTGCTTACAACATGGCCAAAGTCTGTCAGACGAAGTCTCAGAATCCTAGTCTCCAAGGAGCAGCCCAGTTTAACCCTGTTCCGGGATGAATCTGTTTGTTTTCTTAGCAGTTCATGATACTCTCAGTACTGTTCTCCAGCACCACATCTCAAAGGCATCAATTTTCCTTCTCTCATCCCTAGTCATTGTCCAACTCTCTGACTCATAACAAGTGATTGAAAAAACTATGGCTTGTATCAGATGCACCTTAGTCTCCAGAGAGACACCATTGCTCTTCAGTACTTTGGAGAGGTCCCTAGCAGCAGACCTTTCCATCACAATACATCTTTTAATTTCCTGGCTGCTGTTGCCAAGATGTCAACTGTGGAGCCAAGCAAACTAAAGTTGTGAATAATCTTAATCTCTTCACCATCCATCCTGATCCGCCAGTTGGTCCAGTGGTAGAATCTTTGTCTTCTTGGTATTGAGCCTCAGTCCATATTGAAGGCTGTAATCCTTGACCCTCTGCAGCAAGCACTTCCGGTCCTCCTCAGTTTCAGTAAGCAGGGTTGTGTCATCTGCATAACTCAGATTGTTGATAGATCTTCCACCAATCCTGATGCCACACTTCTCATAGAGCCCAGCCTCCCAGATGATCTGTTCTGCATACAGGTTGAAAATATATGGAAATACGACACATCCATGGAGTACACCCTTCCCAATTTTGAACCATACATTGTTTCCTTGCTCTGTTCTGACAGCTGTCTCTTGGTCCATTTGATTTTACATAGTCAATTGAACAACAGTAAACATCTTTTTGTACCCTTTAATTTCAGTCAAGATCTATCTGGTTTCAGCAGTAACAGTTTCTTCTGAATTTAATTGTATCTTTGTGAATGTACAACTGCAACCATTTGGAATTATCTTCTGTTTATCCCTTTTACAATGTAATATAATCTGTGAGGCTACAAGCTTTGATCTCCTTTGGTATGTTTGTCAAGTTTTCTTTCCCTTTTTCAAATGACATTTTCTGTGCATGTTACAAGTTGCAGATGGGTGTTGCCTCCCTCCTGATGTTTTATTCTGCATAAAGCTCATCTTCTCAGATTATTTGCTAATAAAATAGCCATTTAATAAAGATTTAATTATACATTCACTTTCATACAAGTATCCACACCTGTTTTATTTCTTAAATGTGCAAAGTTCACATCAAGAACTTGTACAGCAACAATTTAGACTCTGCTTAAAATATAAACTATAAGATATTTACTGTGAGATGGAAACTGTCCTGTCTGGAAAAACATACAAAATCAGAGTGAAAAATCATTGCTTTGTTGGGTAATGCAGGAAAATACTATCTATGTATTTGGATCAGAAACTACAAGTTACAAAATAATGATTGACTGAAAGAGAATCATTGGAATCAAAAGAGAGCTATCTAAAAGCAAGATCTTACCAATGATAGGTCACTAACACATAAATAGTGCTACATGATAGGCTGATGGTACACAGAGAGCTCTAGTGATGTAGTTCATAGGGTGTTGCACTGTTTCTAAAAGCAATACTTTTTTCTATCCAAGAGTGTCTCTGAGGAAAAATGATGAGCAATCTCCTGCTGTGTGATTCACAGCCCCCCAAAAGCCAGATGGAGGGTCACCTACTATTGGTTCTGATTTGATGAATCAAGTTGGTAAAATGTGCATAATTGCAAACTTGAGTTCTCTTTAGCTTATTACAGTATCATTGCAGAATAAAGGCAGTGAGATCCTTCAAATAACCTGTAATGAACTATCTTTCTTATCTAAATATGTTTCTGAGAGTCCTTTGCAAAGATTTTAAAATTTTATACATTTGTGATTAATTTAATATTTGAATATTTATCACACACACACACACACACACACACACACACACACTAAGTGCCTAAGAATAAATTCGGACTCATATGGTTTTGCCAGCTGTAAGGTCATGGTTTTTTATTTGTTATTTTTTTCTTGTTGTGTGTTGTCGAATCGGAACTGACAGGCAAAGGACGGGATTGCCCCTTCTTCTCCAACAGAGCATTTTGTGGATTTGAACCACATGTCTTCAGGATTGCAGCACAGGTTCTTACTACTAGAGTATCAGAGCTCCCTCAGCAGTAAGTTTTAATGGGAGGAAATAGACCACATTTTCCTGCGAAGCAGCAGGTGGATTTCAACAGTTAAAGATGTACAAAATTCTGGTTAGCAGCACAGTACGCTACATCCTATGCTATCAAAATTGATCTATCTATATACAAACACATTCATATAAGCATACAGATTTTAAGATTATGTGAATAACCAATAAAATAAAGCATTATTGCAGTTATTCAGACAAAATTACCATATTTAATATTTTAAAAATAATATCTGTGCTAGTATTAAATATAGTATAATAATATTATTTGTAACATAAAGTTGTTAGAACAAAAAGAAAAATATATGTTTATGGTCCATGCTGTTGTTGTTGGAACTAACACATAGCTGACCTTCCAGTGGGTTTTCAGAGGCAGTTACTTACATGGGAGGAGATTGTCTATCATTTTCCCTAGGAGTAGCTGATGAATTTCAACTGCATGCCTTTGGGATTGCAGTATTATAGCTTCCTACCACTAAGTCACTAGAGTAAATATGCAATGTTAGAAATAAAGAAATTTTATTTATTACTAATTATCTATTGATAAAATATCTGGGCAATGGGGGTTGGTGTGGGCGAATTAGTGAGACTGGCTCAGGACAGGGAAGGGTTTCGAGCTGCCGAACATAGGTCGCTATACATCACAGGCGGCTCAATGGCACAGAGCAACAACAACACACTATATGTTGTTGTTGTTGTTATGTGCCGTCGAGTCGTTTCCGACTCATAGCGACCCTATGCACAACAGCCCTAAACCCTGCTCTATCCTGCGCCAACCCCACCGCCTCTGACA